GCAGCACCTCACATTCCTGGTCCTTCTGTGTAGAGGTTCCGGTCTGGTTGATAGGCTTGGGGACAGAGATTCTGATGGAGGAAACAGAATGAGGAACCAGAATTCTGAACACATTTTCAGCCCCATTTCTCATTTCACCCCGGGCATTCATTGGCTAGCTCATTGTTCTCTTTACTTACGTTGTCTCCAAGGATGTAGCTGTCATTATAGACTGACATTTCCCAATCCTCTCCCGGCTTAGATTCCTCTCATCCCAACCCTTTCTTTCACCTGCACATCCTCACTTGCTCTGTGAAACACAGCTCCTGCAACACCCAAGGCCTTGTCTCCTTCTCCCGGCCTCATGCTTCCCTCTGTGTTCCAGCTCTGCAAGCCCACACCCTCCTCTCTTTCCTATGTCGAATCAGCCCAACAGCCCAATGCTTCTTCCTCATGAACCCTTATCCTCACTGTGGCTTCCTCAGTCCTTCAGTTCAGGGTTTCTCAGGCTTGGAAGACTTGAAATATTGAGCCAGCTAGCATTTGCAGGGACCGTCCTGTACATTTTAGGATGCTCAGCTATTTCCCACCCCTACTCCGTTAAGGACCAGTTGGCACCCCCTAGTGGATAGAACCCAAAATGCCTCATGATGTTGCGGTTGGGGAACCGAAGAGGGAGGGAATGCTCTCTTGCATTATCACCATAGAGACAAAACCTTATTTGAGGCATTTCACCAGCATAAGAGATTCCGGGTCACGGCTTCTCCCTTTATTCCACACTCTTTTTAAAATAGTTTTACAGTTTTCATCAGGATAAAACACAGCCTCTAATGCAGCATAAAAGGGACACCATTTGTCTTCTACTTGCCTCCTCCAGCTTTCCACTGCAACGATGCTGAGTGCCTTTGCAGCCTAATTAAGGATGGATGAAATTCATAAGAAGTGGTAACTGTAGCCAGTAAGTATGCGCGTAGCTGAGGAGATAAATGCAAAGCTCGTAGGGTGTTTTAAATTTAGGGTATGAGTAAGCGTGCACTTTGTGAAACATAGGCAGACTTGTGTTAAATATATGTAGTAAGTTAGTAAACTATACGGCATGCCAAAGTTAAAATAAATAGAAAATATGATGGAACAGAGGGTCACTTGCAGTCAAAAAACGGGATAGAAAAACTGTTAGGAAAAAATCATGGTGTGTCTAAACCGACAATTTTGTCAGACCCAATTCAGTCACATTTAGGTGGAGACACCCAAAATAGTCTCATATGTTGTCTACCCACTGCCAGGTGTGGGTTACCCCTTTCAAGTTGTTGGCAGAGAGTCTCATAGACTTCCAAAACAACACAGCCATTTGGAATGGAGGGTTCACTGAGACCACCGAATTGGACCACTCCGTGGATAGAAGGGTTAATTGATGATCAAATTGTCAAGGCTATGTGTGAGCAGGGGAGGGGGATAAGAAAAACAGAAATAGCAGAAAAGCAGTCAGAGCTTTTCTTTGAGCTGATACACGCTGATTGGCTGGGAACAAGACACCCTTGCCCAAGGTAGTTGACCTTTAGGACAGGGCTAAGGGAGGCTCCCGAAGGATTAGGGAGGTTCCTTGTTAAACAGAAACCTGCCATTAGGCTTCTGTTTACCTGGCCAGATCCTTTCTGTTTAGGGCACCAGCACTGCCTTTGGGGGGTCGCTTTGGACTGAACAGGGAGGATCCCATGAAGTCCCACTGTCAGCTGAGGCCTCTTGGCAGTTGATGGGTATTGGGGAAGAGTCAGTTTTCTTTGGGGCTGCAACTCCTGATATTCTTCCATAAATGGCCCTACACAGAAAATACTGGGCATTGAATGAACTCTCTTTGTCTCACTTTGGGAGTGAGAAATGGTGGGAGGATTTGGGAGGAGTTGGAGGAAAGGGAATGGAATCACGTCTAGATGTAGGCATGCCCTTGTCTCTTCCCTTGGGGGCTAATCCAATGGGGCAGGGAACCCGCTAGGTGACCTCTACAGTTTAAGATAATGTACTTTCCCTTCCCGGAATTCCAAGCCCTTTGTACAACCCCTAAGAGCAGGGCCTTGGTTAGGTTTGGCTGATCTGGCTGGGTCTGCCTTACTTTCTGAGGCTTGACTCAAAACTGTGTAACTGTATTTTTCTTTGCTTCCAAGTTTTTGCTTCAGATGCTGGTGAGAGTTTAAGCATGCTTTGTAAACTTAGCTTGGACTTCCTCTTTTTCTGAAGCTCTACCCTTCTGCCCTGAGGCGGCCTGCTCATGGCCTGTATCTGCCCTGCAAGATTATCTTCTCCATATTCATCGTTGGGGCAATTTAGAGATTAACAACTTGCCTGCCCTGGGTTTTTCTATTTAAACTCTAATAAATTATCCTTGAGTTTCTGTTTGAGTCTATTCTTGACTCTTTTATTAATAAAACAAAGACCCCCAGGAAGGGACCTAACTTCCCAGGTATCCTATGTTGAGTCTGCAGGGACGCCCCAAGATTTCTGGTAATGCTTTCCTCCTTTTTAATTCTTTAACTGGCAGAGAATGAACCCATTCCTGCACCTCTAGGTGGCATCAGTGGGGGTGTTGATCCAAACAAGTCATATGCATGTATGAAATTCTCAAAATAAATCACTGTATTCACAGACGCATGGAAACAGAGTTCTGGGCTCCAGCTTCAATAACGTGTCTGAAATCCTGTCTCAAAAGCAAAACAAAAACCACACCTCAAAACTTCAATAACGTGTCTGAAATCCTGTCTCAAAAGCAAAACAAAAACCACACCTCAAAACAGCAACCATAGTTTTAGTCTCTTCCCTCGGCCCCAAAATGTAAAGGTACCTTTTACTCAATGCAATACCTATTTTCACAGTGTATAATAAAAGAGAGGGCCAGGCGGTGGTGGCGCATGCCTTTAATCCCAGCACTCGGGAGGCAGAGCCAGGCGGATCTCTGTGAGTTCGAGGCCAGCCTGGGCTACCAAGTGAGTTCCAGGAGAGGCGCAAAGCTACACAGAGAAACCCTGTCTCGAAAAACCAAAAAAAAAAAAAATAAAATAAAATAAAAATAAAAGAGAGGATTTCAGAATGTATTTCAGTTGGAAGGAAGCAACATTAAAATGTGAGACTTTAAAGTGTCCGTACCTGAGTTGCTTTTAACTCACTCTGCCCAGAATAGATTTGCAAACGAAGTTAAGGAAGCTCCTAAAACCTAAGGGCCTCCCAACACCCGAACCTCGGGGGAGGTGCAAGCACCCCAGGGCGAGCATCTGAAGCAACTCTTTGCTGTGGGATGTTCTGTATGTCAAATGTGTTGCTGATTAGTCAATAATTAAAACACTGATTGGCCATTGGCTAGGCAGGAAGTGTAGGCGGGACAAGGAGGAGAATAAAGCTGGGAAGTGGAAGGCTGAGTCAGAGAGACACTGCCAGCCGCCACGATGAGAAACAGCATGTGAAGATGCCGGAAAGCCACGAGCCATGTGGCAAGGTATAGATTTATAAAAATGGATTAATTTAAGCTGAAAGAACAGTTAGCAAGAAGCCTGCCATGGCCATACAGTTTGAAACCAATACAAGTCTCTGTGTTTACTTGGTCGGGTCTGACGGCTGTGGGACTGGCAGGTGAGAGAGATTTGCCCTGACTGTGGGCCAGGCAGGAAAACTCAAGCAACAAATGGCGTCCAACGTGGTGGCAAGAGTTTCCACCTAAAAACCTGAGAAAAGATTCTAAAACGGAGCTAAAAACAGTTCCGAATTGTCTCTCTCAAATGAGCGGCAACTGCTGGTTTGAGCTACTGGTGGGTTCCTAGCGTGCGTGCTCGACCTGCCTATGGCGGGAATGAGGCCTTTGCAAGTGGCACTTTGAGCTGCATAGTAGATTTAGCCTTTGCTGGTGCAGAGCAAAAGGGGAGGTTTCTGGGCTACACGCTGCTTGGCTAAAAGCATAGACCCCCGATAGCTCCCAGAGCTGGCGGTAAACCATGGCCATGTTGGGAAGCTGAGGTGGGTGGATCCAGCAGCCACAGCTGCTGCAGTTTAAGGCAATAGATTCACAATAAGACAGATTCAGATGTAATAGTTTACAATGTGTGTAAAAGATACGTAGGCTTGAAAGAGACAGAAAAGATGATATATAGAGTTATAGAAATAAATACATAGTTTTAAAAAATAAAGTCTTTAAAGAGACAGTAAAGGTAGTATAAAAAATAAGCCACGTAAAAATGGATATTACACAGAGAATCTGCATTGTCTTGTCTTTGGGACTTTTAACTGCAGAAAAACATTTCATTATAAAAGCTGTTGAGTTACGCCAAAATGTATATTTTAAAGGTATCTTGACTTCAAAATTTGAATATAAGGATATGTTACTTTGGAAAGGAGACTCTGCTTTTGTTCCCACAGAAAGCCAGAGGCTATGGATTTGTTCCAGATTAAGATACATCAGGTTTGACCAGCCAAGACCCCCTGAAAGGTCTCCGATGACACCATGGCCCAGATGATCCAACATCCAGAATGGTTTGAAGGCAACTGACTCAGACGATACACCCTCATGGACTTTTCCATGATCCTAAAATTTTCTTTGTATCCCCATAAGATACAGCGCCCCCCTCCAGCAGGAAGTAGTAAGAGAAACTACGCCCAAATTCCCAAATTATATGTAATTTTACTTTGTTAAGGTTAAAACCTTCCTTTTTTTTTTTTTTAAAAAAAAGGGGGGAAGTGCTGTGGGATGTTCTGTATGTCAAATGTGTTGCTGATTAGTCAATAATTAAAACACTGATTGGCCATTGGCTAGGCAGGAAGTGTAGGCGGGACAAGGAGGAGAATAAAGCTGGGAAGTGGAAGGCTGAGTCAGAGAGACACTGCCAGCCGCCACGATGAGAAACAGCATGTGAAGATGCCGGAAAGCCACGAGCCATGTGGCAAGGTATAGATTTATAAAAATGGATTAATTTAAGCTGAAAGAACAGTTAGCAAGAAGCCTGCCATGGCCATACAGTTTGAAACCAATACAAGTCTCTGTGTTTACTTGGTCGGGTCTGACGGCTGTGGGACTGGCAGGTGAGAGAGATTTGCCCTGACTGTGGGCCAGGCAGGAAAACTCAAGCAACAACTCTTGCTTTGGATTGAATCATCCCCCTCCTCCCTGAACCCAACCCTTCCGCCTCCGGAGGAGGCCGAATTGGCTTCCGCTCTAGGCAGCTCCCGGCTCGTTTTCATGGTGCACGCGGCCTCTCTAGCCGCACTCGCCGTCCTCTCGGTGTCAGCGCGGGGAAGGCGGGAGTGTGGCGCGCCGAGTCTGGCCTGTGCAGATACGGTGCTTCCGGAGATCGGCCGAGACCCGTGGCAGCTCAGGTAGACCCGGCCGCACGTGAGTGGAACGTAGGGGGCCGCGGGGTACACGGAGGAGGGTTGGGAGGGGAGGCCTGCAGGGCGGAGGGGGCTTGCGGCTTGCAGCTGCAGCCTGGCACCCTGCGGTGCCCGGACTACAGTCGGTCCGCCACCGCTTCTGGGCCACAGCCTGCAGTTTTGTAGTTTGCACTTGGAGTTGAATCCGGGGCCTCGCTCAAGCTGTAGGGCTCCGGGGCAGAGCTGCACCCCCTGCCTCATCAGTTTGGGGATTCGCTCTTGCTGAACTGCCTCCAACCCGACCAGCCACCTGAGTAGTTCAGATTACAGATGAGAGTAACCAGGCCTGGCTCTTTAAAGTTTTGTTGGTTTGGTTTGTTTTTCCAGACAGTTTATCTGTGTAGCCTTGGCTATCCCGGAAGTCTCAATGTAGACCAGGCTGGCCTGGAACTCACAGAAATCCGCCTGCCTCTACCTCCCAAGGGCTGATTAAAGGCGTGCACCACCTCGCCCGACTTTAAAAAACAATTTTTAAAACTACTTGATATGTGTGGGTGTTTTGCCTGCATGTGGGTCTGTGCTCCAGCGCATGCCTGGTACCCAGGGAGGTCAAACAGAGAGCCTGATTCCCTTGGAACTGGAGTTACAGAGGTTGTGAGCCACCGTGTGGGTGCTGAGAATTGAACCCAGGTTTTCTAGAAGAGCAGCCGGTGCTCTTAACTGCTGACTCATCTCTCCAGCCCCCTCTTTTAAGTTTTTAATTCACAGTCTTCTCAGCCCTAGCCATGTGATTTGGTTAAGCATTTTAGTGGGTTGGGTTTTTGTTGTTTTTAAATTCCTACCCTAGTATCGTGTACATGATAGATGTTTGTTGGACCTGTTTGATGGTTTGAACCATTTTGATGTGGTTATGAGATAGAGGCATTAATGCGTGCATCCCATACAGGGTTGGGGTGGAACTTACAAGTAACGAGGTGTGATGTTTCTAGAAAGCAGAAAGACTTGAAATATTCTTTTACATGGGTTGGTGGAAAGCACACTGTGTAGTGCGTGCCTTCACGCTATGAGGTGATAGTGGGAAGATCTGCTTTGAGCAAGTGGGACCATACAGGCAGCCTGATGTGGTGGTAGTAGTTGGAGAATATGAAACCCCAGAGCCAGCATATGAGGAGGTTTTGGCCAGTGAGTGATTGGCCGAACTTGATGAACCTAGAGACAGTGCAACCTGAAGTTGGGTTAAGAAGTATTTTTTCGGCCGGGCGGTGGTGCCGCAAGCATTTAATCCCAGCACTTGGGAGGCAGAGGCAGGTGGATCTCTGTGAGTTTGGGGCCAGCCTGGACTACAGAGTGAGTTCCAGGAAAAGGCGCAAAGCTCCACAGAGAAACCCTGTCTCAAAAAACCAAAAAAAAAAAAGAAAAAAAAAAAAAAGTATTTTTTCCAGTGGGGATAAGCAGTTCATTAAATTATTCATAAATGAATAAACAAAGCAGATGCTGGAAATCCCGAGGTTCCTGTTATATAAAATCCCCAGGAATTCAGTTAATGCTATTAAAAAAAAAAATAATAAGGTTGAGCTGTGGTGGTGCACATCCTTAATCCCAGGACTCAGCAAGCAGAGGCAGGCAGATCTCTGTGAGTTCCAGGCCAGCCTGGTCTACAGAGTGAGATCCAGAACAGGCTCCAAAGCTACACGGGAGGCAGAGCCAGGCGGACCTCTGTGAGTTCAAGGCCAGCCTGGGCTACCAAGTGAATTCCAGGAGAGGCGCAAAACTACACAGAGAAACCCTGTCTCAAAAAATCAAAAAAAAAAAAAATTCATAGTAACAAGTCCATAACAAACACTACCCCCACTAAAACATTTTGCTAATTTGGATCTCATGAATTTGAACTATCACTCCCTAAAGTTAAGGAAGTTTTCCAATAGTTCTAATAAAACCCAAGTGTTCAAATACTTTCAAAATTATACCTAGACATTCTTACGGACAAATGCTAACATCGACTAAATGGATCAGTGTTTCTGCAGGCCCTTCTTGGATACATGTGGTACTGTGTATGTATCTATTTTGTTTAAATGAAAAGATGTTTTATTGGTAAGATGTTCGTGGTGAACTAAAGGTATAGACTGACATAGTCCACAGTGAGTTAGGAAGTCCATGGACCCTCACTACCTGTTTACGGCGGATTTCATCAGAGGGTGTGATTCTGGTTTCTGCTGGGTCTGAGAGTAATTCACAAGCAGTAAACAATAGTATTTCTGAGCTGACATAGTGACACTCACCTGTAATCAAGAAGCAGTTGCTGGGAAAACAGATCCAAAGGGCTATGTGGCAGAACTATAACCTGTAAGAGCATAGAAAGAGCTGGAATGAGGGATGGAGGGGTGGAGCAGAGAAGAAACAACCCATGTGTGAGCTTTAGAAGGCCGAATGTGACGGCTCAAGATGGATGGCTGCCTAAAGGTCCATGCTAACCTGACTCTTGACCAGGTTAATCAGGACTGCTTAATCAGGAAGCTAATGACACTTCCCAGGGCCAACTGCCTTGACTCAAGCGTGTGCACTTTTACGCTGATGGTTCACCCAAGTAAATGGTATTTACTATTTACAGTAGGCCACTGTAACTTTCATTTTTATTGCATCAGTTTGCGTGTGATCAGGTTATATGTGTGATGGGGGAAGAGGGCGCTGGTGTACGTGAAGACCAGAGGTTGATGGTGAGTGTCCTCCTCAATCGATCTCTACTGTGTGTTTCGAGACTGGGTCTCTTTGCTCTGCCTGGAGTGCCCTCATTCAGTGAAATTCCCTAGCAACAAGCCCCAGGGATCCTCCTGTCTCCAGGATTACAGATGTGCGCCAAAGCACTGAACTTCTCTGCTTTTGTGGGCCCTAGGGCTAATGCCTGGGTCCCTAGGCTTACATGACTAACACTGGGCCATCTGTCTGTTACCAACAGCCTTGTCTGAGAAAGAAACACCAACCCTCAGATACGGCATTTAAACTGTGCAGTTCCTGTAAATGATTCTTCAGGAAATCAATTTTAGCAAAGCTCTGTGCTTACTAGAAGGTTCTGAAAATGGGGTTGCCAAATTTAGCAGATAAAGGTACAGGATTGCCCCATTAGATATTTATTCAGACAGATGGGATTAACTTGTTAGCAATATGTGGGACATAATTAAAATAAATCTTTTAATCCGTTATCAGAAGCTCAGATTGACAAACTTGGCTGATAATTCTGAATCTGCTAATAGCTATAGACACTGCTTAAACAGTGACACCAGAGAGATCCTTACTTTAAAACAATACAGTGGCAGGGACTGGAGAGATGGCTTAGCAGTTAGAGCACCGGCAGCTCTTCCAGAAGATTTCCAGCACCCAACAGCAGCTCACAACTATAACTCCAGTTCACTTTCTTTTTTTCTTTTTTGGTTTTTCAAGACAGGGTTTTTCTGTGTAGCTTTGCACCTTTCCTGGAACTTGCTTTGGAGACCAGGCTGGCCTCGAACTCACAGAGATCCGCCTGCCTCTGCCTCCCGAGTGCTGGGATTAAAGGCATGCGCCACCACAGCCCGGCTCCCAGTTCACTTTCTAGCATTGCATTCATGTAGTACACAGACATCCATGCAGGCAAACACCTATATACATTAAAAATGCAGTAATTCGACAGGCAGTTTTACAGTTGACCCATCAAAAATTATAGTTCTCTAGAAGCTGGGATTTCTAAAACTGAACTTCCTGAGTTCCGAGATAACATTTTTCCTCTATCTTCAGTGTAAGAGTGTGCCATCACTCCTGTTGATACAGTGCTGGGAATTGAACCCAGGGCCTTATGTCTAATTCAAGGAGTTCAGGGCAGAATACTCTTGAGTTTCCTGTTCCGGGCCATTGTTAAGGATTCCATCTACACACTGAATTGTGAATTTTCCTTCTTCTGTATCTAAGATCATTTCTACCTTGTTCTCCCCTTCACTACTCTCTCCTTGGGTTCCAAGTTTTTGGGTCCCTGTAAGAAGTGGCAGCCAGCACTTCCATCTCGTTCTCTCTTTCATCCAGATCACTCCCCAAGATGGGTGTCTTATTGTACATAGCAACAGCCATGCAACTGCCATTGTGAATCACTGGCAGTCTCAGCCCACACATGCATGTAGTACTTTCTCAAGGACTACAGTGCATTCTCTGCTCGTTCAGCTGACTTCAGGCCATCGTAATACTTGCACAGCAGATCCCGCAGTTTGTTTCATTAACTTTCTTTCCCTGGGGAGACCTGATCAAACATCTGCTTAGCACAGGTGGGACACCACCCACAAACCTCTAACGATCCACCAAAGTACCGGCTGGTGAGCCAGGGAGTTTGTTTGGCTTATGTTATAGAGTATTGATGAGAGTAACCCTGAAACAGCTACAGGGGCTCACCCCATAATGCATGACAACAGCTTGGAGGCTAGATCCTTGAGTCCTTCCTTCAGTTAACCTATCTTCCTGTAAAGGGTTTCCCTCATCATTGTAGTGTCACTGTGTCAGTTCGTTGCTGCTATGGGTACCAGACCAAAGACATCACCACTCCAAGATGGTCGTGGGGGATTATGCTGTGCCCAGAGAGAAGCCATCGTGCAATGAACTCACGGCCCTCTATATTTTCTTGTAAAGATTTTAATGTTTAAGCTTTGTGTGTGTGGTTCTTCATCTATAGTTGGTGTTTGTTCATCCAGAAGAAATCTAGTTTTGTTTTTTTTTTTCCACGTTAGCCAATAATCCTTTTCATTTGGATTTTTTAATGCCCATCTATTTTTAGTACCACGTCATACACCAACCCCAATCTGTTCTCGTGTGTTTGTCTATACTACAGCCATACCATACTGTCTTTAATCATCTTTCTAGTAAATCAGCTGTTTCTTTCTTTCACGTTTTCTTGGACCTTTACTCTTTCATGCAAACCAGCTTTCAAACTCCAACAAGATGGAATAGAATTCCCGATTGCCTTTTGATTGAAACGGTATTGAATTTGTAAAATTCCATAAGGTCTCCTGTGTCTTTTGCAACATTTGTGTATTGTGTAAACCAAACAGTGTTTTGGTTCCTGGCATCCTCATTAAATCCCCTATTAGTTCTGAGCAGTTTGTCTGTTGAACCTCTTTTCTCACATGGATATGTCGTGTTTCTTCTTTCTCTCCTTAAATCGTGGAGCTGTGATAGGAAGTATTCTGGTGTAGTTCTGACCTGGCAAGGACTCTTTCTCACATTCCATGATTAAATGCATTCTTACTTGCTGTAGGCTTTGCTCTTTCCTACTCCTTATTTGCTCTGTTTTGCTTTTGTTTTCTAAAGAAGTGCTGCATTTGACTGCTTTTTGCAGTTTTCCAAATCAGAGTGTTCAGCGTAAATCTGTCTTTAATGTTTTCTCTAGGTTGACCTGCCAAAGAGATTTCTAGACAAAACAGGGGAAACGTGCTAGACTCAAGGATGATGGATCCGTGTTCAGTTGGAGTCCAGCTTCGGACCACACATGACTGCCATAAAACCTTCTACACTCGGCACACAGGTTTCAAGACTTTGCAAGAATTGTCATCAAATGACATGCTTTTGCTTCAGCTTAGGACTGGAATGACACTTTCTGGGAATAATACAATTTGTTTGCATCATGTGAAAATTTATATTGACAGATTTGAGGAGTTACAGAAGTCCTGTTGTGACCCATTTAACATACACAAAAAGCTAGCCAAAAAGAACCTGCATGTAATTGACTTAGATGATGCCACGTTTCTCAGTGCAAAGTTTGGAAGACAGCTGGTACCTGGTTGGAAGCTTTGCCCCAAGTGTACCCAGATCATCAATGGGAGTGTGGACGTTGATTCAGATGACCGCCAGAGAAGGAAACCCGAATCAGATGTATGTATACATGCAATTGTAAATGCTTTCTACAGTTTGGGACTTAAGCTAGACAGAGTAACTGTGAGGAATCATGTTTACATTCTTACCACATTCATTAGCATACAACAGATTTAGAGTTGAGGTGAAAGAAAATTATGTGTCAAATGTTTCCATACACTCAAGGTCCAGAATGAGCAGTAAACAAGGGCTTAGAAAGAGCATAATGTGCCCAAGACTCCATGGCTGCAGCTTCTGTTCTTAGACCTTAGGAAGAAGCCGTTAGGAATGGCCTTCAGAACGCTGGCGCAGACCGACTTGGGGAACTTAGATCCTTTTCTGGTACTAAGTAGCTAATGGATGTGTCACCTGCTGGACACTACACACCAGGAGGAATGTCCCTTTTTGTGCAGGACTGCTTTAAAAAAAAAAGTGTCAAAGACCTGGCTTAGAATTGATTTTTGTTTTGTTTGATATAGTGGCTTACTCTAGCTGACTGGAACTCTCCATGTAGTCAAGACAGCCTCAGTCTTGGGGCAGGGATCTTCTGTCAACCTCCCCAGAACTAGGATTCCCAGGCATGAGTCACAGTGCCCAGGAGTCATTGAGTTTAATGTCGGTTTTTCTCCTTTGAAATTATCCTGTTCGTCTTTAAGAGTTTGAAATATTTCTGACTTTTCATAATGCTTCTGCCTCTAAATTCTGGGTATAGCTAAGGTTAAACTTAGGGTTCCCTGTGCTCAAAGAGCACACAGTTTTACATTGTAAATTGTGAAGCACTGTATGCCTCTTCCCTAGTCACGTGCCCATATGGGGGTCATTTCCCTCTCCTGTTAAGAAGCTGAGACTCCTGCAGCTGGCTGTACTGTCAGGAGCACTTGTCAGTTTCTCTGTAAGCATTGTACAATTCTTGCTGCTAGCCTGTTTCCTCACTTTTCTCCTGTTTGCTGTATTACTAAGCCAAATTAAAATGTTCAGTTGTGTGTACTGTGTTCTTCTCAGGCCTGTCTCCAGGACCCCGCACTACTGGAATGTCGTCATAGATACCTGCTGATTCTATCATATCAGCATCCTCGCCCCGTGTCCATTGTTCTTACATGACCGATTTCCCATCATCTCGTCTTGGCTTGGGGTGTACGAAAGCCTGTCGAAAAACCACTTACTTTTACATCCTCAGACAGCAAACTTAAACCCTGAAGCCCCAGGGTTTTGTTTTGCCAAAGCCTTAAAAAAACGTTGCAGTGCAGTCCAAAACATGCAGCCTCGTTGCTTCTCTCCTCTTAACGTCCGAGGTTCTGAAGGACCAGGGAATTGTTATTTGGAACCTTGGTTCTGTGCTGTTGGGATGGTTTGGGCTGTCTTCCCTCTGGTGGCAGCAGCCATGTCTGTCTTTAGTGTGCCAGTCTCCGGCACCTGCTGTCCAAGAGACTGAAGGGACAGGAACAGTGCCGATAATTGACTACTACAGTAAAGGTGGAATAGAGACTGCCAGGGTGGATTTACCCACCGTCCTTTTCCTGTGTGTCCCAAACCGCCTTCCCGAGTCGGGATGCACCGGCTAATGCTGAGTAAAGTACTACTGTGTGGTGTCGAGATTGAAATGTACAGTTTTCCTTACTTTCTTTCAGGGAAGAACTGCTAAGGCGCTGAGGTCGCTGCAGTTCACAAACCCGGGAAAGCAAACTGAATTTGCTCCAGAAAGCGGAAAACGGGAGAAAAGGAAGCTGACCAAGAACTCGAGCGCTGGCTCTGACAGGTAGGCTGCTGGCCCCGTCTGCAGATTGTCTGGTAGCTTGCTGGTTCCCGTCGGCTTTGCCTCCACGGTTTTCCGTAACCTTCAATTTCCTGACCAGTCATTTTAAATTGCATTCTGAGTTTGTGAAACCTTCCGAAAGCCTTGGCTATTACTCATAGGAAAGTAAGGTGTCCCTTGGAATTCTAGAAGCTTCTTTCTGAGACGGTAGCTTGAGGTGAACGAGGTAATGTTTTGGAATGAGAATTAAAATGGTGTTTGGCCAAGTTACTGTTTGCAAAATGTGATACTGATGATCTCTTCTTCATATGTTAGCTTCCTGGGAGACAGCTGACCCAAAAGTCATTGCATTTATGAGTACCCTAGTACTTTGGATTTTGTACAGGTCTGAAGTAGACACACGGTTCTAGGGCAGTCAACAGAATGAACAAGAACTAAGTCATTTAAAATACGTCCTTAAATTGAGAGTCAAAAAATACTGACATTTATTATAACAGGTCAGGCTATTTCCTAACTGGAATCGACATTTTTACCTTTATTCCATCTGTTAAGTTTTTCCGTTGAGTGATTTAAAATATTTTCAGACCATATTTGCCAGAAGTCATTAAGAAACATGAAACAGATTGATTAGAGTGTAAGACCTCTCGGGGAGGCTGTGTCCTGTATCATTTGGTAACTAGAGAAACAAGTCTCTACCAACTACTCATTCCTGTGTCGGCTTGTGTAAAGCCGCTTGAGGGGACATTTCCTTACAGAGTTCTTTTTCTTCTTCTGATTATACTGTGTACACATCCGAGTGTGTATGCGTGCGAATGCATGCATGTACCATGGTGTGTGTGTGAAAGTCTGATATGGGATGTCGTTCTGTATGCTGTGAATATGTGTTGCTCTGATTGGTTGATAAATAAAACACTGATTGGCCAGTAGCCAGGCAGGAAGTATAGGCAGGGTAGGCAGACAAGGAGGATTCTGGGAAGAGGAAGGCTGAGTCAGGAGTCACCAGCCAAACACAGAGGAAGCAAGATGACGAGGCAGAACTGAGAAAAGGTACCAAGCCATGTGGCTAAACATAGATAAGAATTATGGGTTAATTTAAGTATAAGAGTTAATCAGTAATAAGCCTGAGCTAATGGCTGAGCAGTTATAAATAATATTAAGCCACTGTGTGATTATTTTATAAAAGGCTATGGGACTGTGGTTGAGAGATTTGTCCCGACTGCGGGGACCTGGCGGGACCAGAGGAGAAACTTTCAGGCTACAGAAGTCAGAGGAAAGCTGGCATATGTTTCTGCCTCCTGTCTTGGGTTCAGGGGTCACCCTAGTTATCAAGCTGGCATGCCCGCCGAGCATGTTTGCCATCTGAGCCTCTTTCAGCACGGAGAGTCTGGTCCCCTCTGCCCGTCTGAAATTTCTTCTGCGGAGTATAGATTAGGCCCTGAGCCTGGTAGATGATGCGCTGGCTTAGAGGGCTTCGTTCCTCCAGAAAAATATTGTATCTCCTTAATTGTTTCAGTATCTTATTTCAAGTCAATATTTAAAAATAGTATCATGTATGAAGTGCAGCTCACTGTTTTGTTTTGCAGACAAATTATTCCAGCAAAGAGTAAAGTCTACGACAGCCAGGGTCTGCTGATTTTCAGTGGCATGGACCTCTGTGACTGCCTTGACGAGGACTGCTTGGGGTGCTTCTACGCCTGCCCCACCTGTGGGTCTACCAAATGCGGGGCTGAGTGCCGCTGTGACCGCAAGTGGCTCTATGAGCAGATAGAGATTGAAGGAGGAGAGATAATCCATAACAAACATGCTGGGTAATTTATAGTGTCAAACTCGGGGCTCTTTAAAACTCCTCTCTCTCCCCCTCTCTCTCCCCCTCCCTCCCCCCCCCCCAAATTCTGTCGCTTTGAAATGCAGTTATAGCCTAGTTGTTGGAAAATAAATCTGAAACACTCCAGTATGAACTTGGTTGCATTTGGGGTGCTTTACAGTTGTTTATTTGATGGAAATTTAGATGGGGTCTTTCTCCAGAGCCAGCTTGAAGCCTGTCTTGGCCAGTCTAACAAATGTAGGTAGTTTGCCCCGTTTAGGGTTCCCATATGCATATATTTCAGTAGTAATGATTTAGTTGCATCCCGCCCATCTCAGAGCAGCCTATGCAGATTTGAGTTTACCTCAGTATGCTGTTAGCTGCATGGAGTCCTAACTGAGCAGTGCAGAAGTCAGGATGTGCTTAGCAGCTGTGCTTCGTGCTCTGTGCCAATCGTGAGCTTCTTTTCCGTTCTGCCAGTGGTTGCTGTCTGTACAACTGTTATTTAATTCACTTACAGCAAAGCATGTGGTCTCTTATCTCCCTGTCACCCATATGATATTTTACAAAAGTGATCACCCAAATAACTGGCCAGCAAAGACGAAAGTGCAGCGAAGAAGTGAGCAGTCACCGTTCTGGAAGTAAATTCGGATCAGTCGTAAATGGAATTGTCGTAAATAGAAGGCGTCGCTGGTAACAGGAGTATTGATACCATTGCTGTTCTGGGGACAGATGTGCATCAGAGGAACCTGGTGATGGAAAGTTACCCACTCCTCTGGGGAAAGTGGCTCTGATGAGCAGGAAGATTGTGCCAGGAAAGCGATGGTGAAAACTTCACATTCAAGGCTGTTTATTGTAAATAGATATTTCACAACATTGAATGATCAGAAAGGTTTCTATTTAATGTTAACAAAACAGGCAATCACTGTTCAGACTAATTTTGGGCAATAAAATAAAACTCCAGTTCTTAATACGTAAACTTTACTTTTCTTGTCCATTTATAGCTACAAATTTTTAATATTTTGATGGATATTTAAAGGGTCGTATAGGAATCCTCATTCCCCTTGGTTATTAGCATTTCTTTGGTGGTGTGACCCCACACTGTTGTGCAGATAGGTCCAGCACTTAGCTGGGAACAGGACCTATGACACAAAATTGTTCCATGCAACAGAGTAGTTGAATGTTAGGCTGTTTTGAAAATAACCTAGATACCTAAGTGCTAAAATACAGTTCTTTTTCTTCCAACTAGAGATGAACACAAATGGTTATTACACTCTCTGTTTTTCACTTTTTAATCTATGCATTCTTGATGAAAATCTGTTCCTGGGGAAAAATTCTTTCCTCTTTTTCCATGTAAAGCATGCGTACAGTCCATAAATGACTGCACATTTGTCATGGTAGCTGTCCCATTACTGTGAAGAGACACCATGACCAAGACAACTCCTGTAACAGAAAGCAGTTTCAGAGGCTTTTAGCCCGTTATCATTATGGCAGAGTGTGGTGGTATGCAGACAGATACTGGAGCAGCAGCTGAGACTTTTATATCCTTATCCACAGGCAGAGAAAGAGTGGGCCTGGCCTACTCTTACAAGAAAGCAGTTTCAGAGGCTTAATCCATTATCATGGCAGAGAGTGGAGGTATGCAGACAGATGTTGGAACAGCATCTCAGACCTTTGCATCCTTATCCACAGGCAGAGAAAGAGATAGACTAGGCCTGGCCTGGGCTTTTGAAATCTCAAAGTTCATCCCCAGTGACACACTTACCTCCAACAAGACCACACCTCCTAATCCTTAGCAAATAGTGCCACTCCCTGGTGATTAAGCGTTCAAAGGGGCTGTGGGGGGTGTTTTTTTATTCAGAACATCACTTTATATAAAATGGCTCTATTTCAGCATTCCTGAACAGATCTTTTTGTAAATAGTAATAACTTTTTCCAAGGGGAAACTTGAACAGTTTTGCTGTTTCTGTGCTGTTAGAACTGATACCCATACAGTGAGGTTTGAGAGTTCTAAAAATGTCCCTTCAGGGGGTAATGAAAAAAATGGAGAAACGAGAACTCGTGGGATAGAAAGAAATAAAGTTTTTGGATATTGATTAAATCTCGGGGAGAAATCTGTATGGGTGTTTGTGGGGCAAAGGGAGTGTCTCCAGACTTCTTAATAACTAAAGCCTTTTGTAAGCTCCTGTCACTTAGGACATGGCCACTAAACCAAGGGTCTGTTGTTTCTGAATACAGTATCTTAATCAGACTTTTAGTAGTTTGGAATAGTGTGCAGCTTTGAAGCTAAATTTATGTAGTCAGTTTGAGTTGACCATTAGAATACTGTTTTTGTTCATTTTGTTATCTCTACACTCACTGGTTTTCCTTTGATTTTAACGTTAAAAGGCAGAATTGTTTATTTTTTCTGGATTAAGGAAATATTTTGTAGGGATATAGGGAGACTCCAGTTTTATCTGAATCCTTAAGATCATTTGGTTTTAGTGATTTTTTTTTCTTGTTCCTGCTTTGACTCCTAAATGTGAGTTAGGACTGTACATTGCTTATACTCTTCAGAGAGAGTCTAGTGTGTGTTTATTTCCCTTTCCTTACTACATCGCACAGGCTGGCCTTGGAGTTCTGCAGTCTTATTACCTCAGCCCTCGTGGGGTGACATGCATGTGTCACCCACATATCATGCGAGGTTGTTGTAGGGGTTTATTTTTGCTTACAGGGGGACTCTATTTCTGATGGAGAAAAGACTTTATATAAAATGGCTCTATTTCAGCATTCCTGAACAGATCTTTTTGTAAACAGTAATAACTTTTTCCAAGGGGAAACTTGAACAGTTTTGCTGTTTGTTCTTTGTCCGTTTGGGGACCAATGAGCATATTGCAGTGTTTATAGGCAAATGTATATCTGCTCTTGAGTAAACTAATAAAGACTGTATTTTAGAAATAACACGGGCTTGCTGTTCATTATTTTTAGGTATGTGTGTGAGCAGTGTGCATGTGTATGTGTGCTCATGGATGTTCAGGCCCAACATTGACTTGGATGTCTCCTCAGTCACTTGCCACGTTCTTTACTGAGGCTGGGTGACTCACTGGCCCTGGAACTTGCTGATTGGACTGTTCTAGCTAGTCAGTTTACACAGGGGGTGTCACCCCAGCTCTGTGATTACAGGTGGGCCACTGCACCCACAAACTTGTAGTGGGTACTGGGGATCCAGACCCATCCTCACTTGAGCACAAACACTTTGTCCACTGAGCTATCTGCCACTGAAAAGAATCCCTTTCTGTTATTTGGTGTAGATTCTTGTTGGTTGGTTGTTTAACAAGAGTATTTGAGTCTTTGGGAAAGTGTTACTGCCCAGAAATCCATAGTCCTGTCTTTCTGCTCACACTCCTCTAAAAGGTAATGAAAAGTTGGTTGACAGTGCAGAACAAGGGAGTGTGTCCCAGCTGGAGTGACCTTCCATGTTAAACTTCCCACTAAATCATGGTCACCGGGTGAAAAAGCTTACAGTGCTTACTGAAAACTCTTGTGACACCTTAGTTTTTGCTGACATCTGCTGGTATCTCTTTGAAATAAGCATCATAGACCCAAGAGCTTATGAACCCAGGAGCCAAATGACCCTTTGGCTTTGTAAGTTGATTGTATTAAGTGTTGTCAAAGGTGGAAAGCACACTAGTTTTTAGAAATTAAAGAACATATTTAGTGTGTGAGTGCCATGGAATGGGGGGAGTCGGCTGACACCTGGATTCATTTCTCTCCTTCCACCTTTCCATGGATCCTGGGGATCCAACTTAGTTCACCAGGCTTTTGCCAGATCCTCTGCCCCCTGGTTTTCTGGTTGGTAAATGTTGCAGAAATCTTTCTGGAATAAGCACTCTGATACCAATGGGAGGGGAAGAGGGGCGATGTCACGGTGGCTGGAAGCCAGAATTGCTTGCTCCTCAAAGGCCTTGGGATTGGTCCCGTTCCAATTCCTCCAAAACCGCAGCTAGAGCAGGCAAGCAAGCAAGATGAAGTGTCGCAGCAGTCAGCAGGTGACTAAGGACGACAGCCTTGGGGTCAGCTCTTTCTCCGGGTGGTTCTGTTTTAGGTCGCAAGTGAAGTCATGCTCAGCAAATAGGCAGTAGAAACAATGCTCTACATTACTAAGTAGATCAGTAAATCAGCGTCTAATAATTGGTCTTTGCTGCCATATTCTACTTCGGTAAGTGTTCTGACATTTACATGGAGATACCTAGTTGAGTGGATTCTATAACACATACCGGACTGAGTCCGTTTCTCTGGAGAACAGTAACTGATAGAGTAACCCAGTTAACTTCTGTTCCAGAATACTTCCCAGAAAGACCCTGCCTTTAAATCTGAGAAAAATCCATCACTAGATTTTCTCTTACACAACTACGTAGGGAGGGCAGCCTAGAGTAAGCATTGGAGGAACCGGAACTGTTAGGCACACGGGCCTGCTTGCTTCCACGGAAGGAGAGTGACAGAAGGGGAGTGGTGCCTGGTCCCCGGGAACGCTGCAGTGAGATCGGCCAGCCAGCCGGCTGGTCTGACCTGCATCTGAATTTCCCACAAATCCTGGCCGTGTTTCTCAGTAAACAGAACTTCTTCATGAGAGAAGCCCCATGTGCTCTGCATCCTCCATTAACAGAATCCATCCTTAATACAAATCCTTCCCCTAGGCCCTAGACCTGAGCAGTTTCCCAGTCAATAGAGCTCATTCTTACGATAAAGGCCTCTCAGGTACTGTGCTGTAGAGGGTATTTTGCAAGGGAGTTTCCATGAAGCCACCCTTGAAGCTTTGTTATGAGAATTGTCACGGCGACTCTCTTCCCCCCAACCTCCACACCTCCACCCCACCCCCACCCCCTGCAAAATTTTACTGTGTAAGAAAATAAAGCCACAGGATCAGACTCTAGAGCCGTGGTTCTCAGCCTTCGTGACTCGGCAACCTTTCTATACAGTTCCTCATGTTGTGGTGACCCCTAGCCAGAAAATTATTTTGTTGCTACTTCACAACTGTAATTCTGCTACTGTTGTGAATTGTAATTATCTGCTATCCAGGATACCTGATGTGACCCCCAAATGGGTCACGACCCACAGGTTGAGAATCACTGCCTTAGACATTTTGATCCAGTTGGACTGACCAAGTGTGGCTGTTCACATTCTCACCTCCTTGAGATTCATTTATACCTAAGGGCTGTTATACCTGCAGGGACACCACCACCACCACCTGTGGTGGTATTGTGTTCCCCAAAATATTGTGCACCCTAATAAACTTATCTGGGGTCAGAGAACAGAAAAGCCACTAAATACTTAGGCTAGAAAATAGTGGCACTCACACTTCGGACCTGGGTTACTTCAGACCTGGGTTGTGTTTTCAGCACTCACATGGCAGCTTGTAACTGTCTGTAACTCAGGTTTCAGGGGTCCGAAAGAGAGCATCAGATCCCCCAGGAACTGGAGTTACAGGTAGTGAGCTGCCAGGTGGGTGTTAGAAACCGAACCCCAGTCCCCTGGAAGAGCAGCAAACGATCTTAACCACTGATCCATCTCTCCAGCCGAGCAGCAAATGATCTTAACCACTGATCCATCTCTCCAGCCCACCCCCACCCCCACCCCCCTTTTTTTTTCTTTTTAACTTGGGTTCTAGGGATTGAATGCGGGTCTCCCTGGCCCCTTTTTTGTTTATTTTGGGCATATCAGCTGAAGGTCAGTGGTCGTTTCCAGGCCCAGTGTCGATGCCCTCTTCTCGAGTTAGCACTCTTCCTTCTGTCCTTGAGAAGCCACGGTTCCACTCTCAGCCCGCAAGGTTCAGATAGGTTCACTAGGATGCATTGCAGGGCCTGGCCTCGGAGAGTTCAACGCCGCCGCGGCCGCCACCACCATCAACACCGCCACCGCCATTGCCACAACCGCTGCCATCGCCATTGCTGTCACCACCATCACCACCCTTGAAGCCATCGTGAACTTTCTAAATGTGAACACATGACTAGCCAGATCACTCGGCCAGTGACTTAGCAATCTTTTGGCTGAGGCCAGAGTAAGACAGGTGCTCTTTTTCCGGGGGTGGGGGTTGGGGGTTGGGGTGGGGTGGGTGTCTAGCACTGGCTAAGACTCAGTTCTACGTTTGATGAGCAGAAATGTTTTAACAGCTCAGGCTGCATAATTAACCCCTCAGGCAATTCAAACTGTATCATTTACTCCAGTTGGTGAGTTACAACCCAGTGCTAGAGAATTACATCTAAGCATCAACAGCTCCTGTTTGTGGTGGTATTGTGTTCCCCAAAATATTGTGCACCCTAATAAACTTATCTGGGGTCAGAGAACAGGACAGTCACAATATTAAACATAGAGGATAGGCAGTGGTAGCACATACTTTTAGTGGTAGCATTCCAGAGGCAGAGATCCATCTGGATCTCTGTGAGTTCAAGGACACATTGGAAACAGCCAGGCATGGTGACACGCCTTTAATCCCAGAAAGTGAGCCTTTAATACCAGGGAGTGATGACAGAAAGCAAAAAGGTATAAAAGGCGTGAAGACCAGAAACTAGAAGCTTTTGGCTGGTTAAGCATTCAGGCTTTGGAGCAGTAGTTCAGCTGAGATTCATTCTGGATGAGGACTCAGAGGCTTCCAGGCTGAGGAAACAGGATCAGCTGAGGAACTGGCGAGGTGAGGTAGCTGTGGCTTGTTCTGCTTCTCTGATTTTCCAGCATTCACCCCAATAACTGGCCTCAGGTTTGATTTTATTAATAAGTACCTTTAAGATTCATGCTACACCCGTTCTTTGCTCTGTCCTTGCTGTGTCTCCTTGAAATACAGACGAAAGCAGTGGACACAGACCACGATAGACAGAGGTTGAGTGTCTGGATCCAGTTGTCTGACGTAAAACCTGGCATTGTTGTGTGGCTCGTTCATTGACCCCTCTTGTCCATTCAGCATTTTGAAGAATGCAAGGTACTAATGGAAAGTCAATTCTGAGAATTCCAACAGAGCTCCAGTGTGGAGTGAGTGGCCTGTTTAGAACCCACGCCCTTGGGAGTGTTCATATATTTTAGGAATGGGAAGCAAGCAGCTGTGACCCACACCCAAGCCTTCAGTCCTCCCCTGAATCTTAGCCAAATCTCTAGTTGATGTGAATCTTAGTTGGATGTAGCATGGCCTGGAGTCATTTGCCCTGAATGACTAAAATGCTACAACAATATCCAGACACCTGCAGTAAAGCTATCCATTTTCAGTATTTTTGTTGGCTTTGCTTCTAAAGCACTGGGCATACTTGACATTGTTCGAATGCATTCTCTACGTCACCCTGTGCTTCCCAGCTAAAGCTCGGTCCAAAGCCAAATGAGCAGGAACACTTAATGGCTCAGTCTGAATTCATTAACTCCTCAGGGAATTAGATGTCTATCATTGACTCAAGTTCGTGATTTGTAATCCAAGGGGAGCAAAATTAATCTCAGCACCATCCGCTCACACTCTTCTTGCCTCCGTCCCTACAGGTGCTTAGGTCTGTGACATTGACAAAGGGGATGTGAAGATGTGGGTGCCACCAAACAAAAGGAACCCTGCGAAGCACAATGTTTTGTATGTCATTTCCGGTAACAATGGTGCCCAAGTGTCAACTGCATAGTTGATGATGTCTTATAAAGCAGCCCATGCTTAACATGGTAGAGATGTTTATATGTTTTAAACCCCTTTTTCTGTTTCGAAATTAAATCATCACCTTAAAAAACACAATTCTCGTCTCAAAGGGAGTAAGAGATGGTTTATTCTAGAGCCAAGAATGATCATGACCCAGGAACTCAGATTACCTCAAATATCAGGTTCAAATGTAACAGTTTGCATGAAGTTTTTACAGGTACAAAGACACTCATAAATCAAGCTGCTTTTCAAATACATTGGTAGAAACATCAGTCAGTTACAACGAGGTAGGGGGGCCTCTCCA